TTAGCTTTTAGAACCTTATAGAAAAGCAAGGAATTTTAAAAATTAAATCAGATTATCTTAGGAAGTAAATATGATTTTTTGTTATAAAAGCAAATGAATAAAGTTTATACTGTCGAAAGTGCATTTTTATTTATACCAATGTCTTATGGAAGTTGGAATTAGTCTTGCATTGATGATATTTAATTTAGGGATTTTCTTTATTTTGCCAATAAATCTTTAATTATTACATGGTACATATTCTTAATATTATAAAAAGTTTAAAAAGCTAAAAAAGATTTACTTTTTCAAATTAATCATGTATACAATCAAGGATTAAAATATTGATATGGCATCCAATACTATCATATGTATCATATCCATATCAGTGTATTCAAATATACATGATAATTTGATACACAACTATTTTATAACATTAAAAAACTAGATTAATCTTTCCCATCACTTTTTTATAAAATATAAATTAAAAAAAATAATTAAAAGCATAGAATATTGATCATAAGAATAGGCACCAATACCCAATTTTGGATATCGGGGTATTGATATTTTAATACTTGCACACAACTTTTGAACCACATAAAGGGTATTTGTCAATATGAATGATTTTTGTTTTTCAAAAAAAAAAAACATTTGTTATGTAAAAAAAATGCATTATTTTTATTTAAATAGCATTTTGTGTTTCTATCTTTTTAGGGTTATTGTGAGAAATGATTTAAGGGCCCAAGGTTTAATAATGGATATGAGTCATATGACATTGAAAGAGAAGAGAATTCATGGACCCCATATACTTGGGACAAAGCTTTGATGTTGATAATATCTTTTTAGGGCTGTTTTGCCCCTTGTTTCATTAAATAAAAAGCAAAACTAGATATTGGTTTCAATTCCAATGCATGTAATGTAGAGCTGCCTACCTTTTTGTACTTGTTCTAGCGTGAGTTTGGAAACCAACATGGTCCAGTGTACCAAATAGTAAAACTGATTGAGGATTTCAGTGTTGATGCATATGATGTGTAGCCATCTAAATTTTCTAATTCTGAAACTTAGCATAACCTGGAGCATAAAATTCAGCACCCGAAAATTTTATTTGGACAAAATTTTCATAATAGGGTTATATATCAATTGTTTAAGTTGGTTCAAGAGATTTTTGAGATCTTCTGTCAACAATACACGTTCCAACCCTCTGTCAACTTCATCTAACACCGTATATCTCATCATGAAACTGAGACCCATTATAAAAATAGGACCTATTATTAATGAAATATGTGGCGTAAGATCATATTGATAAAGGGTTGAAACATGTTTTGTTGGCAAGTGATCCAGACTCTATAACAGAAGATATAGATTTGCATTTCGGGTCTTCAATCATAATAGGTTTCTAATTAGTTTTTTCCGTTTGGGCATTATTACAAATTCACAATGGAAAAAGATTTTATTTTTTATATATGATACAGAAAACCCTAATTCTTTCATGGTCCCATTTAATTGGGATAAGGCTTGAATGATGATGATTTGATATGGAAGATATTTTGGAAAGGGAGAGAGAATTAGCACATTTATTGTCAAATTACAAAATTACCAAATTAAATGTTTGTCATTTATAATGGACAGATCTAATAAGCCCAATTAGCAATAAGGAAGTAGAGACTGGGTTTGTGAGTTTTATCATCAGGTTAGGACTTAAGACCGGGTCCACCCTGACCCAGCTCAGACCCCAACCCATTGACATATCCAAGAGAGAATTTGGTCTAAAAAGACAATCCTTTGTTAACCATGTTCTCTGGGTGGGGTGATAAGAAAACTGGTCTTTTATTATGAATGTGACATTTTAACTATAATTCATGAAAAAACAAATTCGTAGCAAAAAAATACAGGAAGTTGTAACCACCACTGGATTTGGACATCTGTTTGTGGTCCAAATGCCAAACTAAAGCATGCATGAATCACATTAAACACATTTGTACCTATTATATCATGTTTGTTCTTAGGGATGCATCTTTTCATGGGATCAGGTTTAACATTTGTTTAAATTCTTCAAATTTGATACCCAATTTGTACTTTTATCTGTCCTATACTGAGTAGTAAAAAATTAAAGGAGGCATGTGCTATTTTTCTAATAGTGATAAAAAAGGAATGGGTTCCCATTCAGTACAGGGTCCTTAATTCCTTGTGTATGAAATTGTTTTCTAGAGAAGTTTGGTATCTAATGGGGTTTATGTCAATACAAGGCCAAAAATTTATATTACTAATTATGTGTATTTAGTTAATAATTTGGCTATTGTATCTGAATCTAATGGTGACAATGAAAACCATTCTTATCCTAAATGAGGAATGTTTTACTAAAGCTTGTTTTTGTTAATGCCTTTTGTGAAGATTCTCATATTTCATTTTTTTTTTCTTTTTTATTTTCTTTTTCATGGTTTTCTTTTGATCATATATTCCCCCTTTTAAAAGGGAGAGATTAATGGGTGCATGCCAATGTAAATGGCTTTGTTAAAAAAAAACTGCCATATTGCATTTGCAAACATGGTTTAGCCTGATTTTCTTTCTTCCAGAAGTGTTGGAAGCACTTAAAATTCACAAATACATGTTTATCCATTGTTCTTTATAGGGGTTGGCAAATGGGTAGTTTTACCTAGAATCGGCATCGAATGAACTTGAGCTTGTCCTACCTAATTTGCTATGAGTAAGGTCTGGTTCCAAATTTTTAGAATCAACTCCTAGGGCGGTTTTAAGGTCTAGGGGTTTACCCTATCTGAAGTGACCTGAAGAATTGGCCTTGAAATAGATCCTAAAAAAACATCGGTGATGTGAAGACTTGAACCCGAGGATTTATGGTTACAACGGTCATAATCCCACTTAACCATTGAATCACTTAGGTGATTTGATTATTTTTTTTAATTTAATATTTGAATATATATAATAAATTATGTAAAATGCAATATATATAGTTTAAATGATAATGATAAGTTTTAAATTATATCATCATCATCATCATCATCATCATTATTATTATTATTATTATTATTATTATTATTATTATTATTATTATTATTATTATAAACCAAGTTTTTAAAGAACATGTTCCATTTTTTTGGGAGGACTAAAGAAAGAACATGTTCCATGGATAGACCCTAGAATTTATCTTGGAACCTTGCCTTTGGAACCAAACCGATGTGACCCATTGAAAACAACACAATGAAGTTTCATAATGCAAAAACACCACCATCTTATAGGCAGTGTTTGCCAACATTGCCAATATGAATACTTTCTAGTTTTTCAAAATAAAAACAGCTATCATGTTAGCAAAATGAGTAAATAGAAACACCCCCGAGAGGCTCAAAACCAAAAAGGGAGGAATCAAGGTTTAAAACTTCGATACGACACGCTCGATATCGTATTGTATCTTTGAAAAATAGATACGGTATATGCATGAAAATCGAATGTTTTATCTTTTTTTTCATGCATATCGGACCGGTAACAGACCTTATCGGGGGTGTATTAGAGGTGTATCGAGGGTGTATCGGGACATATCGGTAGCGTATTGATGAAAAAGATACGGCTAAAACTTCAAACCTCATTCTTAGAGTGCTAGATTTGCAAAAAATTGTAAGAAACAAGTGTGAATCATTAATTTTTTCAAAACTTTTTCAAATTTTGAAAAAATATGGCAAAATTTGGTAAATTTGTTCAATTTTTTTATAATATCTTGTGATTTCTTTTTTTCTTGAATGTTTAAATTTATGTTGATATACATTTCTTACATTTAAAATCATATTTTTTTTTGTGTTATTAATAAATTTATGGAAATTTCATGATGATATTTGGGAAAAATATAAATTAATAAAAAATTTAAAAATATAATTTTTCTCTACCTATAAAGACTAAATATGTTTTAGATCTATGGATTTATATATCTTATCCACAGAGCAATTGAAATTTCTTCTTTAGTATTTTTTTTATTTTTTATATTTTAGAATTAAAAAATTAAATAATAATTAATTATATTTTATCATTTGATCACAACAATTGAATATATTATAATTCTATGGATGATCTTTCATATCCACAGACCAATTGAAATTTTTTATTTAATAATTATTCTTTTTATTTTTATATTTTTATAATTGAAAAATAAATAATTAATTAATTATATTTTATCATTTGATCACAATGATTGAATATATTATAATTCTATGGATGATCTATCATAGCCACAAAGCAATTGAAATTTCTTCTTTAACAACTATTTTTTGAATATATTATATAATGCTTATTTATTTTTTATAATTTTTGAAAATAAATAATAAATAATTATTGATTTAGAAATTGTGCCAATGCATGTTTTATGGTTGGATAGGAGAACTGAGTTTTTCCCATCCCATAAAACATTAGAACTTAAGAATTATAATTTATAAATTATAGTTAAGCATATGATTTTTAATGAAATTATAATTACCTACAACATATTTCTTCATAAAACCATTAAAATATATTAATTTAATGTATATACACCTCATTGTGGTCATATATTTAGTGTTATTGATGTATTTTTATAATTTATTAAAGTATTTATAGTGTTTTCAAGCATATCTATGCGTATCTTGTTTTTTCTTTGATATGCATGCGTATCCAAAACGTATCTCGATACTTATCTTAAAATTGCCTTTCCGATACACTTGACGTTTTTGATACTTTAAGCCTTGGAAGGAATATACAAAATTGCAAATACCATTACGAGGAGAACAAAGGCTCAGTTTGGCATATTTGTATTTGTACTCCTTCCAAACTGACCCTCAAAACCAAATTGAAAGATTTCAAAACCAACCGCAGCGTTTCTATAGAAAACTGTCTATTTGAGATTCGTTTTTTTAAGTGTCATCATTTTTCAAAGGGCATTTTTGTCATTACATGTAATTCTACAAATTCTCTCCCATTTCAAATTCGAGGGTACTTCCGTAAAAAGGAGAAGTTGGAGTGACAAAAGGAAAGCGAAAGAACAACCTCCATTTTTTTGTTTTCTCATTTTTAACTTCTGCAAATTCAAAGGGTTGCTAATTTCGAACGCAAGAGATTCCAATTTTCCAAGTCCCAACCACTATAATTTCTCTCTCTTTCTCTCTCTCTCTACCTCTGTTTCTGCCAGAGCTATCCGGACCTATCACATTCAGATCTTACAGTATAAACAGAACCAGAGAAGGAACAGTGAACGACAAGCAAAATGTTACACTTCAGATCACAGGATTTTCTTCTCTTGCCTGTGTTTCTACTCATATCTTCTAGCTTCTTCTCATTCTCTCATGGAGTCTCTCAATCTTACCATCTTCAAACGGTACCCAGTACAGGTACTTTTCTATTTTACAGCTCTCGTCTCGTCGACTTAGCCTTTTACTTATCCTCTGTTTTTATCAAGATAGCTGTTTGTTGCAGTACATTTTTGTCTATTGGAACTAAAATGTTTTTTCGGGCTTTATTTATTTTTTTTAATTTCTCCTTTTTTTTCTTCTCATGTAGAAGTGATTAACGAGGAGCATAATGGTGGGTTGGTTCCATGGGGGACGAGGAGGTCTCTCGCAGAAGGAACAACTGCTGACAACTCATCTCTCATATTAGCTGAAGAGAGAACACACAGGAGAGACCCTCTTGATAATTATAAGCGCTACACAGGGGGATGGAATATCAGCGAACGACATTACTGGGCTGTGAGTTTTTTGAATTTTGACCAATCTCATCTTGGTCGTTCTTGTTTTCGATGAACATTGATTTTTTTTCACTATCCTCAATCATTTCCCTCCACTGGTGTTGGCTTATTTATTTATTTTTATTTGGGGGGGGTTGACTTACCATTATTTGTTCATGGTTTTTCTTGTTTCTAATGGGTTCTGAAATTTCAGGCCCTAAATTTTTGGGTTCGTTGGTTTTACTTAATTTTATTTTTGACAAGTTTTAGTTGTTTCTGAATGTTTTTCCACTTTTCCTAGGCTAAAATTTGTCTCTAACACAGTCTGTAGGTTTTTCCGCTGCTCCCCTGTTTCTCATTGCTGCAATCTGGTTCCTGGGCTTTGGGCTTTGCTTGCTGCTCATCTGCCTCTGTTACTGCTGTTGCCAACGACGGCGTTATGGTTATTCCCGAGCAGCATATGCTTGCTCATTAATTTTTCTCATACTCTTCACCATTGCTGCAATGTAAGTTTGTTCACTTTCAGTTATTTCTTCTTGGTTTTATGCTTGTTTTAATTGATCCAGTGTGACATCATAAATACCCCTTTCCATGGTTTCAGCATCGGATGCATCGTTTTGTACACTGGCCAGGGAAAGTTTCACAGTAGTACAACAAACACCCTGGCTTATGTTGTGAAGCAGGCAAATACCACGGCAGAAAACCTTAGGAATGTATCAGACTATCTTGCTGCTGCTAAGCGGATTGGTGTGGACCAGGTTTTTCTACCTTCTGATATGATGGCTAAGATCGACGAGGTTCAAACAAAGATAAATTCTTCTGCTGCAACTCTTGCTGATGAGACAGCGAAGAACTCAGACAGTATACAGGAAGTCTTGGACATTGTGTAAGAAAATGCTTTTAGAGCTCTCTTTTGGTGTTATACATGCTGTTTTTACTTATTCTGGTTACTGACTTGATCCTGTTATCATGTATTGCAGGAGATGGGCTCTTATTTTTCTTGCTGCTGTAATGCTTTTATCGACATTTCTTGGTTTCTGTAAGTCTGCTGCTCTCCTTGATTATGCTGAACCATGCTGCAAGTTTCAGATTGTATGATATAGGGACTTTCTTGTCACTTATGATGTTGTGATTATTGACTGCAGTGTTCTCTATTCTCGGGATGCAATTTCTTGTGTCCATGTAAGATTATCTTCTTAGACCCTTATCTGATCTTGAAAGTATGTCAATATTAATTCTGTACCTGTTCTTACTAAATTTTGTATACTGAATTGTTGCAGCTTGGTGATTATCGGGTGGCTTCTTGTGGCAGGCACATTTATTTTGTCTGGGACATTTCTTCTTCTCCACAAGTATGTTCAATTGTGTTAGTTTTTAAACTTAACCATTTACGTTCATCTATTTTACCTGACAATTGATGGCCATGACATTCAGAGTAGCTGTTATTTATGATAATAATTTCATCCTATGTCAGTACAGGTCATGCATGTATATAATTTTGTTGTACTTTTTCAAGTTACCATGATATTTTAATAAGTAAATCAACTTTGGTAACCATATGGTTATCAATGTCTTGAAATTGAACTTGGACGCTTTTAAGATTTCTCAGTTGATGTTTCTGGAAGAATCAGGGGAAGGCCAAAAGGACATAGGTGAAAGTAGTGAGAAAGATTTGACGACTTAATATTGTACAGAGGATATATCCCCTGATAGAGTGAATAGGCAAATGAAGATTTGAGGAACCCATATATTAGTTGGTACAGTGTATTGCTTACTTGAGTTGTTTTGCTTCTTTTAGAGCAATCAATTTTGTGTGTTTCTTTAGTTCTTTTCTTCATAAAAATAGAAAAAAAAATTCTGTGGTTGAATTTTACCATTTTTGACCTTTTTGAGGATAAGCTCTAGAGTTGTAAAATGTCACTGCCAGATAATATGACAGAAGTGACACAACTTTGAGGCATAATATATTAAACAGGTAGTCTGTTGTATGCTTAAAATTGATTTGAAAATCTCAGGGGAGTAATACTCAATCTTTAGATCAGAGAAAAGAGAGAACAAAAAAATCATCAGCTAAATTCGAAGTGTCAATGATTACTTGGCTTTTATTGATATAAGTGCTAGTTCCATTATGGGGCTGTAGGGGTTCAACTTGGGTGGGCTTGGGTTGAGCTTTTGTCAAGATTTGAATGGGCCCAGCCCAAAGGCCCAAGCCCGAAGCAATGTAGGATGCTAATTCGGGCCAACCTGAATTGCATCTCTGTTCCTTGAGTCATGATGGATACTGATTTCCAAAATGAGTTGATCTTTCATAAATGAGGTCCTGAGGATGGTTTTAATTCCTGTATTGCTACTTTTTCTTTTCTTAGCTGCATTGGTTAAAAATGTATGCCCAATGTTGACAGTGTGAAAACAAGAAAAATTCACAGTTACTAACCTCTAACCCCAAGATCTGCATGTGTTCTTGCTATTTTTATCAATTTTATAAGATTTGGACCATTCATTAAACTGATAAGGTCACCAGTCATGGGTCAAGCGGTTCGACCATTGGGTTGACATAGTGATCTGTGATGGCATGAGGTCATATATAAATATATAATATATTATTACAATAACATGTATATTGGTTGTGGTTTGATGGTTATTTTCTAATCTTCATTCAAGTGGTTTAGGTTTAAGTCTTGTAAGTACAAATTATTATTTGTTAATAGGCATTAAAGAAACAAAAAATAAACACAAATAGTGTTGTGGGTTAATGGTAATATACAATTCTTTGTAAATAAGAGGTTGTGAGTTCAGTTCCCCTCAATTGTCATTTTACAATATATGATGAAGCAATGACCTGGGTGGGTTGTTGAATTGTTGAAAACTAGTTGGGTTACTAAAGCCTAGATAATTTTTAATGGTTTTCCCAAGTGGGTCAGATGGTTTTTTGGGGAAAGTAAAAGTCATGGTTTATAAAATGGACTGCCCTTCAATTCTTGAGTGTGATGGTCCTATTATATATTCCAGCTTGAGTCTTATAAGAATTTTATTTTCCAAAAAAAAGAAAACTTTGTTCATATAATGTGTATAGGTTCTAAGCTTAGAACCAAATTTGAAAAAGTCTATATGTGATCCAATGTAGTTTGAGCATCTAATAGAAATTATATTTCTCCCTTTGTCTCTTGCAAAATTGCTCTAAAGTGAGTTCTATTGGTTGGTCCTAGTGCTCTCTAATGTTGGACATCTAGCACTCTTTAGGCCCCTATGAAATGTACCTAAATGCCTAGGGATGCTAGACCCCATTAGGTTTTCTACCTTTTAGGGTTTAGGATTCATAATAGAGATGCCTTTTCTTTGAGCCTTTAGATTGGAATTTGTTCCATTTGCCTTTTCTTTGAGCCTTTAGATTGGAATTTGTTCCATTCATTCTAATTAGCAATGTTTTCGAACCATTGTTGACTTGGACACTTTTAACCGTTCAACCCATCACCTGGAATCCAAACCTGTTCCATTTTACCTCAAACCCACCAAAAGCCAAAAACTGTTGATTTGGTTAATGAATCGTCAATGTATGATTAAACTGATGAATTGTTGAACCCATTTTAAGGTTTGATGATGATGTCGATACATTCATTTTTAATATTTAATTAATATTTTAATAAAACCAAACCAATCGGTCAAATGGCTGGTCAAAATGAGATAGAGAAGAGACAGGGGAGGAGAGAGAGAGAGAGAGAGATTAAACAAATAGATTTTCTAATGGATTGTTGTACTGAAAGATGATTTGTGATGTCTTTAAGGAGTTTCTAGGAGTTAATGCCACTTTCTTTGCCTTATCCCCCTAAGAGGTTTGATGCTAATCACCCGAAAGACTTTTGACCAATTAGTTTGGTGACTAGCATTTATAAAATTCTAGCTGAAGTTCTTCCTTTGAGTATTACAGAGGTCCTCCCTTTTCTCATTAGTCAAATCCAAGGGGCCTTCATACAAGGAAGACAAATAATCGAGCATATTTTGGTTGCTAATGAATGTATGAACTGAGGAGATCTAGGCGAAAGGTCTTTGTGTGTAAATTGAACCTTGAAAAAGCTTATGATTTGGTGGACTAGGAGTTCTTATTAGAGGTGTTGAGAAAGATGGTATAATTGGGTGTTTGGTTGCATTAGTTCTTTTTTATTTATTTTTATAAGTAATAAAGTGATTTATTAAGAATAAGTAATATGAGCCAACATAAGGTACATGGTAGAGTTCTCACAGAGAGGCGCGAGATGTTTTCTCAGAAACAAAGCAAAATTACAATTGAGCCCAGAGTTAATGATCCCTATGCTCCCCTTGCTTGGCTAAAAGATCTGCCAACCCATTAGCTAATCTCCTTACCCTTTGAACTGTAACTGTTAAAATTGAGGTTAGCCACCTAAATCTTCTCATTGCCCCCGATATGACCACACCACAGTCTCCAGTTCTTTTAGCCACCCAATTACCAGTTTAGAGTCTCCTTCAACGACCTAACTTGTAAAGTTTAAATCTTTTGCCAGTTGTGTCCCTTGTAAAACTGCTTGGACTTTTGCATTAACCACACCACCCATTCTGATTGGGCCAGAAAACAAGGCGACAACCTGACCCTCTACATTCCTAAACACACCTCCAATGCCAGAAGGCCCGAGATTGCCAAGGCTGCTACCATATTACCATCAAAGTTTAGCTTGATAAATCCTTCTTCAGGAGCCTTCCAAGCAACTACAAGTTTGTTCCTAGCAGAAGAGGAGTTTGCAATCACTCCCCAGTTTCTCCATAAGTCAGCTAAAGAGAAATGTGAACTAAGTTCTGATGCTTTAGTCCAATTAATGGCCTTGATTAGCAAGCACTCTCAGACAGAATCCTCATCCCTCACTCCCAGTTTGCATTAGCTCTTGTCACCATTCTATTTTGGTGAATGGAGTGATGAAGGTCTTCTTTCTAGCTTTTAAGGGTGTTGGGTAGGATGATCCCCTCTTCTCATTTTATGTTCACTCTAATAGCATATGTGTTTACTAGAATGATCTTGATTGTTGATAGGGAGAGCATGATATGGGATTGGAGATTGGAAGTAATGAGTTTTTAGTTAGACACCTTCAGTTTGCATTAGACTAGTTCATGGGCCGGGTGCGGGCTTGGCTTTTGAGAAAATTTGAATGGGCCTAACCCGAAGCCCGTGCCTGATACAGTAAAGTCAGGCCCAAAGCCTGGTCCCTGAATAAGTCTAGTTTGCATATGATTTAATTATTTTTGTTGAAGGGGCTGATATCAGAAAGGTAAGGAATCTAAAAGAGCTAATAAGGAGGTTTGAAAGGCTTTCCAATTTGAAAATCAATCTGGGCAAAAGTTATGTAGTAAGGGTTAATATGGAGGATAGGGAAATTGAGGTTGCTATGACTTGATTAGAGTGTTCTATCTCTGATTGGCCTTTAAAGTACTTGGGCCTTTTGTTAGGAGCAAATCCTAGGGAGAGTAAGTTTTGGAACCCAGTGATAAAAAAGTATGAGAAGAGATTAGCCTTGTTGAAGAAGAACTGTATCTCTTTGGAAGGGCATATCACTCTGATTAGGGTTAATTTTGAACACCCCCTAAATGTTATGTTAACTAAACTTTGATGGGAGTAGTCTTGGTAATCCATGCCTATCTGATATAGGTGGGGTTCTCAGGATGAGGTTGGGAATATCTTATCTTTGTAATTGGGTTCTCTGGGAGTTGGAGACTCTTTAAGGGTTGAATTACTAGCGTTTATTCAAGGAGTGCAAATAGAAAACCAGCATGGAGTGGAGTACCTTCTAATAGAAGGAGACTCAAAAGTGGTGGTGAGGTCATTGAAGGATTCAGATTATTTTATGTAGTATTATAGGAATGAAATCAAGAGATTCAAATGGCTTACACAGAAAATGAACATAAGCATACATCGGGTGATAAGGGTGGCAAATGTTTTGGCTGATTGTTTAGCTAAGCAAGGGGTTAATAGGGAACATTTGTCTTGGGCTCAGTTGTAACTTGCTTTTTGTATTAACCTATGACTTTGCAGAGGCTGCTGCTCGTGCCTCTCCTAGGGATGCTTATATTGCTATGATCTTTTGAGTTTTGACAAATAAATTCTTTTTTACTTACAAAAAAACATATAAATGAGTCACACCTAGGTTCAGCAGCCTCAGTAGAGATGTTTCAGGTCTATTAGGAGTTGGGTTATTTAGACCTCCTGTGATAAGTTTTACTCATCACCTAAATGCCCCACAATATTATCTAGGGACCTTCTAGCAAGGCACATGTTGTAAAATGTGCCTTGCTTGTGTGCCCTAGGCATGCCTAAGGCACACTTTTTAAAACACTGAACATATTAGATCAAATCAATTATACCTAGGTCCAAATTTGATCTGTTAGTATTTGGATTTGAATCAAAATTTATCCACTGAATAGGTTGAATTTGGATATTAAATTTCATTAATATATTAAACTAAAAATATTGTTTTATTAAATGTTTTAAATAGTGATTGAAAAGGTGTGCCTATGTGGGTGCATTTCAAGGCTTGCGCCTTGCCTAGGCCTAGGCACAGCCCCTTTAAAAAGGCATGCAACTTTCTTAAATTATGCACATTTTGTACATTTTTATTCATGGTGGTTGGGTTGGGAGCTCCATCTTTGGACCCTTGACCAAGTCCCTTGAGGCAAGTCTGAATAAGTCCATGCTAGGGTCTTAAATTCTTAATTGGTACTTTAAAATATTGGCTTTTGTGATTTAGTTTTAGTGCTCTGAGAACCCTCTTTTTGGCTAATATTGTTCATTCATTCATTCTTCCTAATACAAGACTTTTTGTTTTTTAAGGATACGAGCTAAAGTTAAATAATAAAACCAATAATTTTAAGTATGAATGAAGATTTTAAGACTGTAGCATGGACTTATTTGGGCTTCCCTTAAGGGACTTGGTATAAAGTGGCTCATAGAATTAGAGTAATGCAATTGGGAAAGAAATCATGTGCTTGAATATGTTTTATATGTTATGTTTAATTCTATCTTTAAATTTTTACTTTGCATATGTTTTATATGTTATGTTTATGTATTTTAATTGGAGCTAATAGTTTTTTTTTTTTAATTATAGTTGAAATTTAAGTATGCATTTTTTGCTTTTTTTTTGAAAATTTAAAAATTTTGTGCCTTGTTTCAGAAAGTCAAGAACCTTGCCTCGTGCCTTGCACCTCAGGCACAAAAAGCCTCTTGCACATTTTTTAGTGCATTGCACATTTAAAACACTAAATTTTAATATAATGAACTAAAAAACAACTTTGAAATCGTATATCATGAATAAAATACCTTTTAGACATGAACTTATGACCACGAGTGTCTGGTAAAAATACAGCATTCGAATCAGTGTTTCTAATAGGTATGTTAAGAGTGATTGGCTGCTCTTATATTTTCCCTATATATTGGTTTCTTTAGTTGTTATTGCTTTTCTCTTATTTATCCTTTATATTCTTGTAGAGTTTCTTCTCTATAATTAGTGTGGGACATAGCTAATTAAGTATTTTGTAATTCCACTTTATATGAGAATAATATAAGTACCTCACTGGCTGATTCGAAGTCATGTCTTTTCTCCAATTTGACAGTTAGGTTTTCTTCTCTCCCCACCTTTCTGTTCCATGTGGCACAGATTTGTGAGGTCATTTAAGGAGCTTCCCTGATTAGGGAACATTTTTTCATGTGTGTGAGTGTAGCTGGGCATTGCCATTTCTAACTTCTAAGCCCAACCCAGCCCTGCCTTTAATTAGGATTAGAGTCTAGCTTGGTTGGTTCACATGAATACAGAGAAGGCTATCCTAGTGGAGCTGCTCACCACCAAGAATTCATTGTGAATTCTTTTAGTGAGTCTCTCTCTCTCTCTCTCTCTCTCTGGTGGGGGGAGGGGACTAAAGAAAAGAAATGCACACCAAGGCCTTAAGCCCAAAAATGTAACAAAAAAAAATAGTTTGTCTAGGATTTACAATTTGGGTGGGCTAGGTGGGTTTAGAACTAACAGTTTGTCCCCAGCTTGAGGCACGGCCCAACCAAGGGGAAGCAGTCAACTCAACTCCAGCCTCAGCTAAATTCTAATGCAACTCAGGCTAGATTTGGGGTTAGGTGGGTTGGCCCATTTCATGATTTTAGTGGTTTGTTTTTCTTTTGCCAAATGGAAGAGGGTTATTTACCTAAAGTTTTCTACATTTGGAGAAAGTGATTTAGAAACTTGCATAGACCTGTTCTATTGTCACCTCAGCATACAATCACTGCAGTTGTGTACATTTACGAGTCCAGAAATGTTTTCACATAGACAACAGGCCTGTTTTGTTCTTTTCTTTTTGAATAGTTGTCTCTGGTCAGTACACTGCACATTTGATCAACTGCCCTTGTTATAAACTGAGTATGCTCTGTTGTTTATATAACTGTATGGAAGCATACATGGCAAAGTTTCTTCATCGTAATAACTTCTTTTATAAATGAACATATAACAAACATGATTGTTTTTATTTTCTTTTGATGGAAAAAAGGAAAATATAACAAGCATATTTGTCTCAATGGAATTATTTCTTTTAACATGAAAGGTATAACGAGTATAGTGCATTTTAATTAACATTATCTTGGACCTGTATGTTGGGTTGTTAATTAGACCTTGTACTATGTCAAAAGAAGGGGGGAAAAAGGAAAACTGCGACAACTTTTTTGCCAACTTCAAAAAAGTTGTATGTTTCCATTTCTGTCAGATAACGTATAACAACCACAATCTTGATGAAGAAACTATATCATTTCTGCTTCTTTACAGTTTTATAAACTACAGTATGTACTCAGTTTTGTCATTCACTCATTTGGTTAGTGACTGCTTTCTCTTTTTCTCTAATGTCATGTTTCTTATCTACTGTCCATGTGTTTTTTTTTTTTTTTGTATCATTCTTATGAGAGCATGTACTTTCTGCTGTACAATAACCATACAATTTAGTCAACTTGTTGGACAATTCACTATAAATTATCAACTCTGTAAAGAGAATTCATATGAAAAATATCAAGAGTATGACAAGGATAAACTGCCTGAAAACTTAATATCCATATTATTACCAGCTTAGTCTTTAATATAATTTGATACATATGATTTTAGTTTCCATTTTATCTTAACAGGTTCAGTTTCATTTTTACATATTGATATGCAGTAAAGTTCTGAACTTGTTGCTTGTGCTTTCTAGTTTGGGTCTTACTGGACATGCTAACCCAGGCAATGATTCAATTAATTGTTTTCAGAAGCTTATCTAATTTATCCTAACCCATTTTCCTTCCATGTACTAGTGTGACCGAGGACACGTGTGTTTCAATGGGGGAGTGGGTCCAACATCCAACTGCCCATACAGCTCTCGATGATATTCTTCCCTGTGTGGACAATGTTACTGCCAATGAGACCTTGTATAGAACCAAGGAAGTTACCTTCCAACTGGTCAATGTGGTCAACCGTGTTATCACTAACATCTTTAACATTAACCCCTTACCCAACATGGGACCTCTTTATTTCAATCAATCTGGTCCATCGATGCCTGTCCTCTGCAACCCATTTTATTCTAACTTCACTGATCGGCAATGCAAAGCGGGTGAAGTGGACTTGAACAATGCAACACGGGTAAATAAAAGGAAGTCCCTACATTTTAAATAAAGAAGCAATTTGAAAACTACTAACACTTCCTATTTCTTGCAGGTGTGGAAGAACTATGAGTGTCAGGTTTCATCGGCTGGCATTTGTACCACAGTGGGCCGTGTCACCCCAACCTTCTATAACCAGATGGCAGCAGCAGTGAATGTGAGCTATGGGTTGTATCGTTATGGTCCATTCCTAGTTCAGCTAGAAGATTGCACCTTTGTGCGTGACACATTCACAGCCATAAATAGAGATCATTGTCCTGGTCTTTCACGATACAGTAAATGGATGTATGTTGGTTTGGCTGTGGTTGCAGCTGCTGTAATGCTCTCTCTGATTTTCTGGGTGGTTTATGCTAGGGAGAGGCGGCATCGAGCATACACCAAACAGTTCATTGCCAGATCAGGCGATGGACATTTAGATAAACACCCATAGTAAACCTCCAAGTCAGTTCACCCTCTTTAAGTGACTGGAATGTTCTCATACATTTTGGTTGCAGGTTATAACATGTGTACATTATGATACCCTTTTTTGAAACTCTGCTCTTGATCATTGTGAAATACAGTAATTTGTCATTAAGTAAAAAATGGTTGGACCATCTGTTGGTCAGAATGCTTCTACCACGGAATAGTCATGCTATGCTCATACTTGATAATCAAGTGGAAAAGTGATGCCCCTTATTAAACACCGGAACCCCTTGTCAGCAACTCAGCATCATTTAGCAATAGATGAAATCATGAAATATTTAACCAGGGAAGCTTTTTTTTTTTAATCTTTGTCATAATCTATTTTAAGCAGGTGCATGGCTATTGGCTCTTTCTTTTGAGAATGTTTTATAGACGGAGATCCTGATACATTCACCCTCCAGCCCTTTCAGGATTAGGAGAGACAATGTAGCCAATTAGACAGCCACTACAGTAGATGTTGGAAACTTGGAATTCATTGACCCAGATTACAATGTAGCCAGGTTTCCGCTCACCAGCTCAGTTGGTATGTTTTGACCCAGATTACAATATTTGTTGGAACAAGAATGGCCCATATGACCAACCAAACATGATTGTATGGGTTCTGAGTTAGGTCCATTGAATATGGTTAGTGGTTATAACCATTGCCATTATGAGGATGTCTGTCTAGGTTGGTCATCGTCAGGTGTTAAGTTTGAGGGAGAATAACGGTTCGGCCCAGGGTCAGAATTTTTAGGCCCAAAATACAGTTGGGGTAGGTGCCAGTTTGGAATTGATGCCAATTTACGGGCAGGTATTAATGTATAGAATAGGGGTTTTTGACATTTTGAATGTTTATAGGTCTGCAATGGGATTCAGAAATCTTCAATGGGCCTGTCAGTACTTCTCCGTTATCCCTTGCTATATTATACTTTAGTAATGACAGCTTTTGAATAAACAGTTTCTTATCACATGCTCATCAAAGAGGGATCTCTTTGGTCACATGGTGGGGTAACCATTTAATCCAGACTTGCCATTTAAGGAGTGGTAGGTTATGTGAACCTGCAGAGTCCTCTTGCACTATCACCCAAGCTTATATGTGTAGGATTTATGGCCTATGGGTGGGTCACATGGATGCCTTTGTTACTTGTACCTGTCTGGCAAAGCCAACCACCACTTTTGACATATTCCATGCCCTTGAAGAGGTGAAACCATGTTTGGGAGTGCTTATTTCAATATTTACTTATTTTGGGCCGGAACGACATCAATAAGCACTTATTTGCATTTGGGAAATAAATCCAAACTTTGAGCTTATTTTTAAGTGCTTATTATTTCCTTTCTAACCCATCTTGGCCCACCACATCATTTTGAAAATACCTATCCAATAAGCACTTATCAAATCAGCATACCCAAACAGGGGCTTAATATAACAACAATGCAATGCATTTTATTTTTATGGCTAACTTGAAGGTTACTAGAAAAACTAGGGGCCACTACTTGCTTTAAGAGTAAAATCTCGGGTTGGCAAGGTTTGAGTCCAAGAGCCACCACTTTCTCTGCTGAGTACAAAGAGCCAAGGCTCAACACTTGGTTTGAGAAAACATTGATTCTTAATACAAGAACATAGAAAACATTCTCTTGGTTCTATAGTTTATTTCTTGTTTTCAAAACTGAAACCAGAAATTTATTCCTAGGGTTACTAGTATTTGTAAAGCTTTAGAAACAAGAAAAATATGAAAGTGAAAACATGTTTTTGTTTTTCTTTTTCAGAAAAAAATGCTATTTTTCTTGATCAATCTATAAATGTTTTTACTTTATTTTGAGAAATACATATTCGAAAACATCTTCATGATGTAAAATATTTTAAAATCAAGAACAACAAAAACATTTTACTAGAATTCCAAGTTCACGGGTTTCCTGGGAAGTTACAGATAGGTGCTTAAAAATATCTCTAAAAATCTTGTTTAATGAAAATAACATCCCCACCTTCCTTTATCTTTTCCTGCTAAAAGCTCAGCTTATTAACTTACAATCATAAATAATAAAATAAGCATAATGGTCCCAATCTGATATTGAATTCTTGTTTGGTGACCACCTTCCTTCACCTCCACCCCGCATAATGAAGGGAAGAAACAAGAGAGATTGATTTCTCTAGAAGGCTCCATGTACTAAAAGATAAGTTTAGTCCAGTGAAAGTTGTGATCAAACAACTGCAGCCTTTGATCAGTCCGGGCTGTTTCTCTATGGACCCATCTTCAACTTTTTCAAAATAAAGAAAGGACAATCACAATTAGGAGATGCCAACCATTAACCGTTACACAGTACTTGGTCTAAGGAGGTCTACTTAAGCAGGCCTACTGATGGTGATTAAAGAAAAGGAAAAAAGAGAGCAGAGAAAGCAAGAAAAGGAGGGCCCCTCTTAATTCTGTAGACACGTAATGGATAAGATACTAACTCTGTTTTCACAAATTTCATGTTTACCCATCAATCAGTGTCAGTTAATAGAAGATTAGGGGGCAGAACTTCTAACCATTTCAACATCTGTAACCAGAATTTTCAAACTCTTGAAGATAGCAGGAGCACCTCCACCCTTAACACATAAGAAATCACCCTCCAGCACTTGATTTTCCCTTATTTCTTTCTTCATATTGTTGTTTACTCTCTCTCTGTTGGTGATTTAATTAATCGTTTGTTTAACAAAAGTTTTTACTTAATTAATTTTTAATTTTGGTTTCCTAAGGTCTTGGGTTTGGTGAAGGGTCCTTGTCTGGAATCAAAAGCGAACCACCCACAATTGTCTACTTCCCAATGAAAGTGTTAACAGATAAGGTGATAGCATTCAGTACTAACTGACAAAACAAGGGAGGCCGCCCCTAGAGTCAACCAACTTAACCAAGAACAGTGTTTCTAGGGTTTTCCTTTGTACGTTTCCATGTAATTTTCCCTTCATTTTTCTTTTTTAACCCATATATAATTTCATTTTCATAAAAAGTTTTCAAATGGGTTTGTGATACAACCAGCAAAGGACCATTTTATCCATTAAACGTACTTGCCTAAGCTCGCCTTATCTGACTCATGACTCGGATGGATTGGCTCAGTTGAAGCCTGGTCGACTCAGCTTGGTTTCAAAAAGAGGAGTAGACGTCTAGACGACCAGGACACCAGATATATCAGGGTAAATTGGTCATAGGAACTGTAACTTTAATTTCCACATTAGAGATGCCAATTTTTTCCATCCTGATGAAAATCTGACTTTTTTAACTCAATAGGGTCAAGGATCGAGATTGTTTTGGCGGGTAAGAATGGGGATGGAAATTAATAGGAATCCCTGATTATGTATATTATATATATATATATATATATATAACATTATTTATAATTTAAAATTTTTATTTATTTTAAGTAAAATTTATTTTTTAAAAAATATTGTTATCTAAAAAAATTTTAAGAATTTAGGCCCCCGCAAGAAATTCATTCCATAATTTATCCCTGATGAGAATTGGGACCGAAGATGTGATTAAGGGGTGGGGGACGGAGAATATGACCCCCACACCACATCCATGAAAATGACCTGAATAAAGTAAAATTGGTGAAGGGCAGAGGGCATTTAGGTACTTAGAATGAAAGGGAATTTATATATAAGGGCCCCATCTCCGCCATCCATTTGGTTAGTAGAACTGAAACCCTCAAAGGATTCAAGAGGTCTGAAACCAAATTCATCGTCAGCAATGGCGTCAAGGACTGGACCTTCAAATTCAAAGCCCCAAAACCCTACCCGTACATGCTTGTGTTCTCCAACCAATCACCCAGGCTCCTTCCGGTGTAGTCTGCACAGGAATTCTCGGAAGCTCTATACACGATCATCAGTTCACGTCGCCTCCAATCCTGGGAGCCGATCGGAACCCAAGACAATGGATAAGAGCAACTTGTTGAAGGAATTCCTTCTGCAAATCATAAAGCCATCGAAGCATGATATGTCAAGGAGAAGGAATTTCCAGCCCAAGCCTACCAGGTTCTGTATGATGAATAGCAACAACAATGGAGTCACAGTTTCCTGAAAATGGATTATCAGATTCATCGTCTGTCTCTTTTTGTTTAGATGAATTAGTTTATGTAAATATTGCGTCTTGTATAAAACATTTCACATATGGGTTTTCTAAATGGCCAATTTTTCAGGAAAAAAATAGTTTAAATGATTAATTAGTTCGTTCCGTGAGACTAATTTTTCTTATATTTGGATGATTTTGGTGTGAGAATTCTATGTAGTACTGTCACATTCACATTCAGTTTTTTTATTAACTCTGTTTTTGACATTTCCTGGGGAATCATTTTGGACCCCTCTATATCTCTCTCTATCTCCAAACTGCAACTCTGTGCGAGTGATTTGAGTGGTATTGTTTTTTGGGAATATTTGGGGTAATCCTAGAACTAAGAGAATTTTAATGCTAGAATTTGCCACGTGGAAGGGGTGATCTGTCAAAATGGTTTGACTCCTGAATTTACTCGGGATTGGAAGGCGGTTTTATTGGGAAAGCAATGGAACAGAGCACGGCTGACACTTGACCATTGTTTAAGAAATTTTATTAACTGGCCATTCAAGGTTCAAACCGACCTTTTAATAAACCTTTGACTGGTCAAGAGTCAAGAATTCAAAGATGCAAAGACTCGGAGACCCAAATAAAGAAGTCTCCCTCTCCAAACATATGGCACGGGAACGAATGATTTGATTCTTCAAGTAAGTCTAAGAAAAGGGAATTACAGCATCTATGCATGTTATGTCCCCAACAAAAAATGATTTGATTTTAGTTTTCCATAGCATTTGAACCCACCACAGCCAAACAATGAAAATGGGATCATTTCATTGTTCAAACAATGAATTTGGCATTTGGGTGTGCGGTAACAAATGTGAAAATGAAGATGAAGGACCTTTTTTATTGCAGTTCTAACAACATTATCTGCCAACAAATGTGAAAATGAAAATCAATTGTTTTAATGAACCAAGATTCTCAAATACTCAGGTGGCAATATCACTTGCCAACAAATGTGCAAATGAAAATCAAGGTCCATTTTATTCGCAGTCCAGATCAGAATCGTAATCGTAATTAAAATTTCTTAGAATCGGAATTGGGATGATCTATTCCTATAATCTATTTAGTTTAAATAAGAATTTGAATAAATTGAAACGGGATTTTATTCCCAAGGGAAAGGAAACGATTAACCATTCTTTCAAGTAGATTTTGATTCCATCTAAACAAACAATTAGAATGGAATGAACCATTCTGATTCTAATTCCAGACCCCTATTTCAGTCTATATTACCAGAATCACTCCCAATTTCCAAATGCACTGCTTGGCATCTATCAAAGTTCTGGCCTGTGTTCATTGATAACCAAAATTTGTGGAGAGTAGCAATAATTTGAAGGGCCTATACTTTTCATTTATGATCTTTGCAAGGGACAGATTTTACGAGAGAAGTTTTTCAAGTCTGAATCAGTGTTTTCAAAACCAGACCAGATGGTTGGATTAGAAAATTCAGGAATCGGCCACTGACTAATTTTTCATCCCAAAACCGCTTTTGGCCAAAAATTGTTGATTTGATCAGTGAACTACTGACCCAGGCGGTGAAACTGTTGATCCGGACAATAATTTTTAGCTGTTTTTTTTTTTTACCCAGTCTAGTTTTAAAAACCTTGGTCTGAATGAAGCATAGCACCTTCAAACAGAAATGTTCTTTCTGTACAGAAATGTCACTGAGCTTGTTATAAGGAAATAAATAAACATAATTCTCAGAGATTTGCTCGGTTGGTGGTTATTTATTCGTGACAAATAACATCTTATTTTTTTAAGAGGCGCGAGATTTCATTCATAAATGCTCAGATATAAAACAATAACCAGCAATAAGAAAAACCAAGGATCAGATCCAAACATGAATAAAGAGATAAAAACAACACGAGAGAGATCAGATCCAGCTCTTAAATAAAAACACATGAGATCTCTGCAAATGAATGATTTTGTTCAAAAATAAATAAATAAATAAAACACCTCACTGATCAGGATAGATATGATTTCATAGTTTATATTTTGCTTCTTCTTTTAATAGCTCATAATTTAAGCATAGATATAATACTGAATAGAACAGAATAGCGAAACAGGATTCATATAGCCTTTCCCATATAAGGACTTGGATGATTATGATGATACTCTGTTTATTCTTTGTTTTTTCGAAGTCTAAATAATAAAATAAATACCATATAATAACACTCTCTTATTTTCTATTTGAATTCTACAAGGATTCATCGATTTTCACAAGGAATATTAACACATTAAAGCATCCATGATTAAGGAAAACACCATAAAATTAATCTTTTTAGAACCATATGGCATTTTGGGCAGATTCTATATCCCAATATTCCTATTTAGTAAGCAGGTGTTGGATAACATGGTTAGTTTTATTTTTTAAAGTAAAAATAATTATCACATCAGACAACATTCTATACCTAAGGTTGTGTTTGGTTGCAATGCAAATAAATTTGTGCTGATGCATAACCAATAGCAGTGTAAACGATTTGAGTGTAAAATTTGACCTATTTTTGTTTCAAATTTTAGCTTATTTTGTTTCATTATAGTACAAATAAAGTAAATTAATATATGAAACATAATAAAGTAAAATCCAAAACAATATTAAACAAGAATTTACATTTTTTACATTTGAACTCCTATGCATTTGTACTAATGCAAATAAATTTGCACTGCAACCAAACACAGCCTAAATATTTCTGTTCACTAAGGGGGTGTTCGACAATATGTGACAGTAAACGACCATTTCGGTTTATCTCGTGAATGGAGCATTTCGTTCCACACCATGCTTAAATTGTCGTTCGATTGTTCGTTGGCATGAATTGGTCCACATTATTAGTCTCGTTCATTTCTCAAAATATCAGCCGCAGGTTTTTCTTGTGGACAGGTCCGGCCATAGTGCTTTGTCCCGAAAATGATATTCAATGCTTCTCCTATGCATTTGTACTAGTGCAAATTTATTTGCACTACAACCAAACACAGCCTAGATATTTCTGTTCACCAAGGGAGTGTTCAACAATATGCGGCAATAAATGATCATTTCGGTTTATCTCGTGAATGGACCATTTCGAATGCTTATCTTATTTTTTTGCTATATTTGTATTATTTTCATTATTTTTTTTAACCCTTTATTTAAAGGGTAAATTGCTGAAACCTCCCATGTAAAAGTGAGTTTTTTTTTGGTATTTAGTATTATGCACCATTAACAATTTCCCCCTAACCCCCTTTTCCCAAAAGTGCTGATTGTGGGACTTGGTTCTGTGTCAATGCTGGAACAAACCAGCTAACACACCAATAAGCCAGCCCTCGATTGGTTTAAAAGTGGTAGTTCAGTACCCTATTTTATGCTAATAGCACTGTCCTCCCCTAAACATTTTGACATCGTTGCATCTACACCCCTTCCTTTATCTTTATGTTAGAATGTTAATTGAAATTGCTGATGTTATCATCTCAACATTTTTAAATATCAAGATTACCCTTAGATGAAAACATGTGGTTTTATACTAACCAAAATACCCTAAAAAGAGCCATCTATATCATGCATGAACAAAGAGTTAGAACCCACCTTGACCCTCACCCACCTCAACCCACCAGCTTTGATTGACATATCCACCACACTCAATATTTTTCTCAAAACACAAAATGAAAATGTGTGTGTACAGGAAAACATTGCAGAAAAGCAAAGAAAATGATAAAAAAATAAAAAAGTATATAAGTTTCAATAAACTATACAAAAATTGTAAAGAAAAGACGAATTATATGGTTAGTGTAATGGGAAGGGATAGAAGCCAATTTACCATTCAAATAGTCAAATTGGGTATTTCGATAATTTTGCCACTTCCATCAACTCTAGATAATGGAACGGGTGTAGATGCAACAATATCATAAAGTTTAGGGAAGGACAGTTCTATTAGCATAAATCTTAAAACTATCAAAAAAGTATGGGGAGGTTTCAGCAGTTTACTTTTATTTAAATTTTAATAAGTTTTATTATTTCAAAATGATATTAGTATAAATATTTTAAAATATTTGAACTAATTTCTTATTGAATTTATTAATGTTTGACATACTTTATATACTTAAGTTTTTGTTATATAGCTTTTATTAGCTAAATTCATATTTGATATATTTTATCTTTCAATATTTTATTAACTATAAGTATGATTTTTATATTTTTTTATATTTATTAATAAATACATATTGATGTTTTATTTTAAATATGGATAATTTTTCTTATTTTTTACTATTTATCTTATTTATAAAACATAACAATTTTTTATACTTAATCAACTATATAAATTATCTCACATGTTGTTTGTGAGATACATAAAATCAATACACAAGGTGTGGATTAATCCACACCCACTTAGAGAATGTTTCTTTGGCTAGGTACCAACAACTTGGTTGATTCACCTAACAAACTCCAAATATTGGTCCAGGGTGGGGCTTAACAAACTTGTGTTGCCTCACAAGTAGTGCCCCTGTTTTGTCAATTTTCCATGTGTATTGAGCAAAATACCCCCAACATAGTAGAATTAACCTAACCAAATCAAGGCACCATATTAAAGTATTTGTTGATCCACTTCAATAAAGATAGGGGCTAAAAATTTGGCTGTCTAAATTTGACAGCCTAGGCCGTCAACAAGACTCTCCCCTCAAGGCACATTAGTTTAGGCATACTCAGGTTGGATTAGCTGAATGTAATAGCTGTTTAGTGGTCTGTAGAGAACTAATGATAATGCCCCATTGTGATGGATCAGCCACTATCAGCGCCATCAGCACGCCATCTAAGTGTCTTGGGTTGGGTCCTTGTACTCTTTTTGTAAAGGGGGGTATGCCAATGACAATTATGTAAATAGTAGTATGAATATTCAGTATTTTGATGTATCAATCTGTCACTCCCCCAAAAGCTTAACGTACTCTTTGAGGGGAGGTAGGTA